TACTGGAAAACAACAATGCTGTGGGATATATATATATATATATATATATATACTCTTTATGAGGTGAGTGATTTATTAAATTGTGCAATCAGCAACGGATTCTTATCCATTAAAAGCTCTGTCTATCAAATTTTATGTGGCAATTGTGATGTGTCCATATATGGGCATGATGATGTCATATACATCCAAATATGGGCATGTGACATTTACTTGTCACCAAATTTGACAGTGTGGACACAGCTTAAGATTTGAACTCCTTTGATCAGCATCGCTTTTTCTGGAGTACACAGTTCAAAACTCAATATTATTGTGATGACAGAAAATTAATTAATTTTATTCTATTCTTTTTTGCAATAAAAAAAAATACAAAAATATATTACCGAAGAAGTAAAACAAAATACAGAGCAAATTGCATGAAAACATAACAAGAAAAACCCGAAATCCATGCCAAGAAATAGCCAAAGCAGCAGGGCCACTGTCCTCCATACGCAACAAGCATATGGACAATGAAAAAGAAATATTGTTAAAAAATAATTACAACAAAAAGAAACCAAAATCTACACAAAAACATTATTAACATTGTATGTGATTATAATAAATTATCATTAGAGTAATTAAATTTATATTATTATAATTCATATATTAAATGACATTTAGGGATTTCAAATTAAAATAATAATTTTACTGTAAACAAAGAAGATATGAGAAAAATGACAAAAAGTTCCAAAGGTCTGCAAGAAGACTATTCGTTGAAGTGTTATGCTGAAGGTGTAAGTATTTGAACGTTAGTTATTAGTAATCAGTTTTTGAAAATAAAATAACAAAATTTGACATTGTAAAATAATATTATCTGCAAGTGTAGAATTTGTCAATAATTTATTTATTTTTATTTTATTCAATTTCCAGGCAACAATAAAACAAAAACATAACAATGAGAAAACAATATCCTGTGGAATCACTATCAGAACGGCTTCCCATATTGCATGCTTACGTACCGTATACAGTATTAAACGTTGAAGCTATAAAGTTGGATATATAAATGATATGCTAAAATTTTATGACAAAATGCAGTAAGAAAAAATACAATAAAATATTGTAAAATAGTTAACAAAATAAAATAACATTATACATCAAACTTCGGAATTAACTAAACAGTATTTAGTTAAGTTCATTAACTTATTTGATGATGACTTTCACATAACCTCTCCACTTCACCTGATGTCGAGCCACTTGATTTTGTGAGCCATGTGTGTGAAACCCTGAAATATGTGATTCATACACCCTCAACCTGGACCTGATCTATTCCCAGGGGGTCAACCAAGACGCTATAGAAAAGATGGACATGGAATATGGGTGAGGATAGATTAATATGAGGCTTATCAGCATACTGTCACTAATTGTTTAATTGAGTTAAATTAGCATAAAAATGTGGCAATATTGTAAACTTTAGTACAAAGAAGAAGTCATTATATTTCTGCACATGACTTTGGCAATAGTAAGTTGATTTCTGTAAATAACCAATCATTTTAAAGTTTGTAATGTAGAGAATAGGAGCTCAAATTTTACTTTATTTTTTAATTTTTTTGTCACTGATGCTTATTT